CCTTTAGGTGAACATAGAAAAGCTAGGCACAGACCCAAATTCTGTTAAGCTGGATGCTGTATGAGCTAGAGTAAGAAATCTGCTCCAGAAATGAGGCCTGAGTAAACACCTGATGGAGGTTGTCAGGGGGAATGCAGTGATGTGGTGACTTTCATAAAATTCTTTCCCAGCTTAGGCTTTATTACACAAGAAGAGTAGTAACATAGGCCAAAAAAGTGCCCTGGGAAAGGCAGAAAAGGATGAATTAGTTACATCTGCACAGCTGGAAAAAACTTGTGACACCTGGACTCACCACAAAATCCAAGCCAGATGCCAAAAGTTAGATCAAACCTGCTTATAGGCAGGGTAAGAAATGAAGTGCAGAAAGCCATGTTATTACAAATAAAAGATGGGCTCTGGGACCAGGCTCGCTAAGACTGTATTTCCAGCAGATAAAGGGAGACTGACATAGCCAAATGTTTGATACCTTAGCAGCCTTAGTCCCCTTAAATTGTAAGAGATAGGGTTTTTTTTTTCTGCTCCATCTATGGGAAAGAAAACACCTCTTGTACCTAAGTTGGACTACTTATTTCTTTCACACAGTATTTGTATTACATTGGTTTTTTATTGTTGAGAATTATTGTCTTTATTCTTTTTTTTTTCCAAAATTGCATTTCTGAAATACTTTGGGGCTTTTCTGCAATAGTTTCTCCAACGGATGTTCAGGAGCTTGTCTGCAGGTGGCCACTTGTGAGCTCCAAGGAGGAGCATCTTTCCCTTGGGTGATGCTGGCCTGGCAGAGGTGCCTCCAGAAAGGGGCTAGATTTATTGGCACCTACTAAGCTAGACCCTTGAACCATGTTTGCTGTAGGGCAGCACACCATGGTGTTGTGAGAGAGCCTGAAAATACACTTAAATTTATCAAAGGAGCAGGACAAAAGCCGTAAGGTTGATGGAACAGAACTTGCAATGGCTTGACTCCCCTGGGAGGGAAGATTCTCACTTGAGCTTTCACAGGTCAGAGTTGGGTGCCTTGCTGGAAGGTGCTATACCAAACACAAGCTTTTAGAACCAATATGGGGCAGATTCCATGCCCGGAAACTACTGGGAAACTGCTATAGGGAACTGGGGTGTTTCCCATTCTTTCTGTCTCCACATCTGGCACTCTATCCCTCTCCAACCTCATATTTTGCCTTTAGGAATGATTTTTCCCCCAGAAACTGGTAGTGTCCTTACTGGAAGAAAAGCTCTGGCTTATTACATATGCCATACAGAGGCATGAACCCAAATAAAGGAAAAAGACATAAAACTGTATTCACCTAGGGCACTTCATCACCATCACGAGGGCCAGCTCGCTATGTGCCTGGCTGGCTTGCCAAGAAACACGTAAAGGGATTTCTGCAGCTTGACATGCATGGGGCCAGGTGAGCAGCTGTAAGGAAACCATGGGGCAATGCGGAGACTCCTTCACATGCTGTATTGCTCATGGAGACATACATTTTCCAGCAACAGGGCAATGCAGAGACTCCTTCACATGCTATATGGAGACATACATTTTCCAGCAACAGCCTGGTGAGGTCAGAACGACGAGATCGGTTGTCCTGGATGGGAAAATGGGACCAGGCCCAAAAGAGGAGATTTACAGTGTGTCCGGGCAGAAGATTTCTTCCCTTGCTGCTTGGAGCCTCCTCAGATGCCTAAAGGCTGGTGGGTTTGCTCCATGTAGGCTTGCTCCCACCTCAGACAGGCAACCACAGCACGTTTCGGAGTGGCAGGGCTGCTCTGCCAGCTCCTGCGGCACCCTCAGGATTCTGGCATTGGTTTTCCAGCTTCTCTGTGGCAGTCACGCTCGACCTCCTTTCCCAGCAACGCCTGTGCTTTGCTTTCTCCACGCCCTTGAGCTGATCTCAGAGCGTGTGATTCAGGACTTGCCTGCATCCCTCCGTGTGTTTTCATTAATTCCCTCTGAGAAAGCACTAAAAAATCAAGTGTAGCATAGCAGAAGGAGGCCTCCAGCAGTGCTCAACCCGCTGAGGTGCCAACCAGAGCAATGCCACCTCCTTTTCCGAGCCTCAACTTTCTCCTTCCTGCCCTTGTGCTCCTTCTGCACTGCCCAGTGCTGCTACTCCAGGGCCTCTCAAGGTCCCCCTTTGAAGTGAAGGTGGCCATATGTGGCTGAGGGATGTACATGTGCAAGGCCTGTTGCATGTGGCCTTGTCTTTCTCAGTCTGACACTGGCAGAGGAGAAAGGAGCTGTTGCTAAGACGCACTCAACACCCTGTCCCCAGCAGTGACCATCCAAGCCGCGAGGCTGAGGACCGGCCCAATTCGCTTCACGGGTGTGTGTGGACATCAGAGGCCCTATGGAGCTTATGGGAGCTGCTATGCAGGTGGTATGGGACTGCAAAGGCATAGGCTTGGTGGTCCAGAGACTTTTCCTGGAGGATTACATAGTTGAGCAACCTTCTCTTTGGCTCAGGGATGATTATTTTGCTTCCCTGCATGTTATTATAGCAGCTTATTGACACGCGCTGTGACAGTTGTGCTTATACGGACCCTAAGCAGTGCTGCTGTAGGACTCACCTGCATGAAACACAGATTCCAGTTCATTTTCCTGGCTGGACTAAACTGTTTTGGACAAGACATAAAATAATTGTCAGTGAATCCCTGGCTCTCAGCCCAGGTTGCATCTGGCCCGATGCTGCCCAGATCTGACCTGTCTCCTTGAGGGAATCTGGCATCTAACCAAAGCGCCTGTGCTGGCAAATGGAGCAAGCACTGTGTGTGCCTTGGAGAGCAGACTGGAGCTTGATGAAGGTCATGGTCCCCCTCAAAACTGGAGGCACTCGTCACCCTGGGGCACGTGGCCACTGTGACATTTATTAGGCACCAGAGCTACCCCTCCCCTGCCCCCAAGCTGGGCTGCAAAATGAGGAATATGCTTGGGAAAGATAGAGGCCTAGATTGGCTGAATTTCTTTTTTTCCCCTATTGAAAATAAAAGAAGTGGCAAAATAAAAAGGTTTTGTTAGCATCTGGGGTCTGATTCATCATCAGGCTTAAGCCTCTCTTGGCACACGCCTTTGGGAGCAACACAACTGAAATCTCTCAAGCTCAAGGAGTTTGGCCACATTTTTAAATGACTGTTGATGAGAGTGGGGTGGGACAGGACCCTTTGAAGACTCCCATCTGGAGTGGGGTGGGACAGGCTGCTGTACCTGAGCACCTCCACAGAGGACCTCCCACGGTGTGATCCCTTTGCAAATCTTCCCGCTGAGCTGCTCCCACCAAAGGGTCCTCATGCCCAGGGTCACTGCAGGAGCTAATTCCCTACCATGCTCAGCCTGCTTGTGCTTGCCTGGGAATACTTTGATACCCCATTTACCATGTGTCATCTTGACTCCGTAGCCCTGCCTCAGCCAGTTGCACCATGTCTGGACATGAAGAGCTCTGCCAGTGAGTTTTTCCCTATCCTATTGCTACCAGGCCAAAGGAAGGGAGCATCCCAGGTCTCAGAAGTCCACCTTCTTTATAGACAAAAGAAAGACTAGGCCCAATTTATTTCACTGAGACAGAGGGGAAAATATGTAAGTACAAAACAGGAGAAAGATAGAAAAAAAAAGAGATTTTGCAAGATCTGCACAGAATTAAAGGGGTACAAACCTCTCACTTGCTCTCATGCTCACTTCCCTCCATCCCTCCACACAAATGGCCAAGACATGTCTTAGCATGTGGCAAGCTGGATTGGGTGGCTGCATCCAGCCTGCACGTGCCTCTCATTCTTCACAGCACAGTTAAGTTTTCACAAGTAAGCAGGATGAAATCAAGCCTTTCAGATAGAGTATGATGCCCACCTCTGATTAATTACAGACACTCTCTGAAGCAAGATAGCATGTTTGTTCCCTTCTTCTGCTCTTGTTCTTTCTTGCTGAAACATTGGCTTTCAGAGGGTTGCAAGAACACTGGTGACTCATGGCTTGTGATCGCCCATTCTGATGATCTTTGATATGTGAGTCTGCATCCTGAGTCTTGCACAGAGCCCAGAGAAGGGAACAAGGCAGGAAGGTGCCTGTTCCTTTGCTCCCAGCCCTTTGCAGGGTGAGTGGATCATTCAGTGTTCCTCTGAGGTCTGGCTATGCAAATTCCTAGGCTACTCTTAGGGTGTCCCTATGGTTTTTAAGCATTGTGAGAAGTAGGGACCCAAACCCAAATAATGACTGTGCTTTTTTCCAATCCAGTGTCCAGCCCAATGCACCTCTGACCTGCTGCCCATGTTGAACCTCAGGTGTGGGATTCTAGGTTGGTTTGAAATCTGGATGCCTCCAGGATTTGGTACCTTCAATATCCCACTAAGTCATTGCCCTTCTTGCCAATCTATCCTTCATCATTCATCAAGAGGAAACTCTGCACATGGGGCGTCCTGGTGGCCACAGGGCCCAGCTCTGCTTGCTTGTCCTGCCTGCTGATGAGAAGAGATCCCTAGGCAGATTCCCCTGACTGCTCAAGGGCCTCTCGGGTTGGGGTGCTCTCAGGGGGTTCCTTTGGTTAATTTTTATGCTTATCTCTAGTTTCTTTTTTTCAGACTCTGCATCTCAGGGAGGACTCTCAGTGTTTGTTGGAGATGGAGTAAGTGGAAGAGCAGTAGCCTGGTGTCTGTAGTTGGACAGCCAGGAACAGGGCAAGGATTCGTTACACCAAAAATTCTCATGGCTGCTGGTGAATGGAATAGCAAGAATAAAACGAGGGAAAACTGTTATTTTCAAGACCTTTCCAAGCTTGCACATTATCATCAGCCAGACTCTGACCATTTGAGCTCTTGGAGGTTTGGGGCTGGTTCTTGAATTTGGGCCTCCCAGCTGTCATTGCCTTGTCCTGGGGACACGTGGCCTCGAGCTGTGACAGGAGCAGGGCAAGGACAAGCTGGGGCCCTGCCCTGCCCCTGTGCTGTGGTCAAAGGGGCAGAAGGAAAGTGGGGCTTTCTTGGGCTTCACTCGCTCTGCAGTGCCCTCTCACACCTGGACCTTACAGTTTGGTGACTGTCACCTCACAAAGTTCACTCAAAGGGACCATCAGCATGTCTTGCTCAGAAGTGCTGGCATCAGCTGGCAAGAAGGACTTCTCCCGCCCTTCTGCTGCTTCTCCCTTTCCATCCCTGTCATCCAGGTTGAAGAGAAGTTGCAATTTCTCTGGCTGCACAGAATTGAGGACGATGACACCCAGGCCCAGAAGGAGGCACAGCAGTCCTGCAACACAACATGGACACACTCATCACTGAGTGCCCCTAACTCTCTGCACATCCTTCCCCTGGTGTCCCAGCATCATCCAGACCAGGATCTGGGGCTGGGAGCCCAGTGGGCACGTGGCATCATAACAGAGGTCAAGGGAAGTGATTAGTCCCCTCCATCTGGTGCTTGTGAGGCCACAAATAGACACTGTGGCTGATCTGGGCTCCGCAGTACAGGAAAGTAGTCAATAAACTGGGGAAGGAGGCCAAGATGGTTAGGGCTGGAGGATACTGTGTGTGGAGAGGAGCCAGACTTATTCAGCCTGGAAAAGAGGAGTGTTCCATGGAATCTGATTGCCATCTTCTGCTGTTAGAAAAGAGGCAGTCTCTTCTCAAAAGTGCAGTGAAAAGGTGAAAAGCAACAGTGTAAGCTGTAACACAGGAAATTTCAATATGATTTAAGCAAAAATATGCTCCTCAAGGGTGAGACAGCCATGGGGCAGGTCCTGAAAAGTAGACTGGATCTCCAGCCAATGGGGATGTTCAACAACCAATAGGACAAGGCCCTGAATGAGTTTCCTCATGAGGAATATGGAGAAGACTTCAACATAATCAGTTTCTGTGATCACTTTTGGAAGGAGGAAAAGGTGCTGTTGGAGCTCTCCATCTTGACAGTGCAGCACTTCTACAGGAAGGGAGAAAAAGCGCCCTGTGAGCAAGCGGAACACTAACCTGTTGTTAAAGTCAGCCAAAAAGATCTGCCGTAAGCTGTTTTCAGGGAAGCTGGGCCAAACTGGATGGGACACTTTGGAGTGTTCCTCGCAGTGAAGAGGAAGAGCAATGAGAAGAGCATCAGTGCTGCAGTGAGCAGGAGCATATAGCCGCCATAGAGCAGAATGGGCATGGAGAAGAGCAAGATGGAAAGGAGCCACGTACAGAAGGCCATCCTGAAAAGCAATACAAAACAAACAAAAAAAACCCACAATACTGAGCAGAAAGTGTCATGCTTAGAGCCAGGTCTCTCCAAATCCTCATGGAGATGGGTATACCCCATTCAGCCTCCCCAGACCTGAAAGGATATTGTAGAGAGGATGGAGTCAGACTCTTCTCTGTGACAAACGGTGAAAGGATAAGAGACAACAGTGCCACCTGCAATAGCAAAATTCTAGTTGGACTTTAGAAAAAAAAAAATCTTCCTCATGAGCCTGGTAGAGTGCTTGGACCAGGCCTGGAGAGGTGGACAGGAGAATCTCCACCCTTGGAGACAGCACTCAGCATTCAGTAGACCGTCTCTGTTTTATACCACAAGAAAGTCTCTGAACAGCCTCTTATCAGACCAGCCTGCTCTCCAATACTCCACGTCATGCATGCCAAGGGCACTCTTAGCAGGGCACTGCATCTTCATCGAGATGGCCTGGGAGAGGAGTGTGCATCATAACACCCAAACAATACATCTGTAATTTTATCCTTTGGGGTAGAGAATGTGAATAATGACTCCAGGGCAGGTAACCAGGTCAGGCTAAGCATTATCAGTCCTAGTTCTGTGAAAGGACTGATCCTCAATATTGGCCAAGACTTTGGCATGGTTTTACTGGATAGGCAGTGACTCCCCCATGCACTCTCTGTTCTACTCTGCCCTTTCTACCTCAGTACTCTCAGCAACCAGAGACCTCTTGCTCTGCCTTACCACAGCGTGAGGGATGCATAGTGGCCAGAGATGCGATACTGGTTGTGCACGCCACAGGGGCTTTGTGAGGTGAACTTCTCTGCCAGGTAGAGGATGGGACTGGGCAGCCCCTTCTCCAGGCCTTCATTGTAGCTGTGGTCATAATCTGCATCGAAGCTCCAGGCAAAGTGCTCATTGTAGCTGATGGTCTCGTTGACCTGATTCACTGGGTTTCCTGGCAGAGGAGGAAGACTAATGTCTTGGAGGCAGCTCTGAAATCCATCAGTGTGGAGACTCGGAGGACATTGCTGTCAAGCTTGTCCCCCTTCACCTCCTGTTGCAGCAGGCACTCACCCACCAACGTGATGTTCACCCCTGCCAGGCCGACGTGCAGCCCAATGTCTGCATTCACCATAGCATGGCTGAAGGACTTGTAGGAAGTGTTTGCTGTCACCCAGCCATTCTCCCAGTCTCTTGTGAATTGTATCACTGTGAAGATTGAAAGGGTTAGTTATGGCCTGGTGGCAAGACGTCTAGTGACAATATACGCTGGAAGCACCTGCTGTGACTGTGACCTGAGTTTCAACTACCTCATCCCAAGGGCCAGGTCTGGGTTGTGAGCCCTGAAGACCTCTTATGTATGGCAGAAACCACAGTTCTTTCCCCACCACTAATCCGGAGCTGTGTCCCAGAGAGAGCAGCTGGAGCTCTTCTTCCCAAGGCCCAGCTCAGCCCCAGGTGCTAGAAACAATGAGGCTGTTGTGCAGACACTGGTCCTTCTCCAAACAACATCTTTGGGTCACCTGGCAGAGAACAGGAGGCTTTCAGTGAGTTCCCAGAGATAATCTTTGCATCTGACCAGCCTTTGTAGAGGAGATGTTTGACAGTTTTTTGCAAATACATTACCACCAGATGCCTGCATTTCCCTCTGCTTGCTGATTACCCTGCTGGACTAGGTTTTGGGCAAAGAAAAGCATTGGTCTTCTCTGCAAGCTAGTCCTGACAGCTGGACCCAACTGTTCCTCCTCCCACCTTCCTCCTTGGACCTCCGCATCTTGGTTGTCTTTGTGCTTCCCCACCTGCTGCCAGCTGCTCAAGGACCCATGAATCGCACCCCTCTACTCACTGAGGACCACGGCTCCAATGAAGAGGCCTGTTATCCCACGCAGGAACCAGAAGAACTGCTGCAAGGAGTCAGCAGAGAGCAAGGAGTTAGATCTTGGGACCAGCCACTTCATTCCTTGACCCTTGTTCCCGAAGGGAGGTACATGGTGCAAACAGGAGGAGCAAGGAAGTTCAGGTGAGGGGCGTGATGTGTGACCTGCAGCCCAGTGCTGCTAAGTTAAGATACCATCTTCAAAAAAAAAATATGATACTTCATTATCACTCTTCAAAAAACAGTGGGTTTCGTCTCTGGCAAAACCTTCCAGACGGATTTTGGGTACCAGTCAGATCTTCTGATGCAGAAGGCAATCCCAAGCATGGCATTTAGAAATGCCAGCTCATGATAAAATGGACCAGCCCTTCTCCTGAGTCGCCCCAAAGGCTCTGCAAGCCAGTGAATCCCCATGGCTTGGGAGTCTTGTGGGGCAACCGGGTGCAGGAGCGAGACACAGCTCCTTCCAGGAGGATCCAGGCAGAGCAAAAGGGTCCAAAAAAAAGCTGATATGTAAAAGCTGTACCAATCCCTCTATTGGAGGGACAGAAGCACTCCCTTTCAATATTCCTGAACTCACATTTCTGCAATTTTACAAGCTTTACATGTGTTGACAGCTGGGCTCGACCAGAGACAAAAACAGCTGTCAAGGTTTGCAACATCCCCCATGGCAGGAGCTGTTTCTCTGCCAGCTCCATTGCAAACCCAGGCACCCGCCTAGCTTATCACGGAGACATTCCCTCTTGGGCTGCTGCTGCCGCATGTGCCAGAGCCGTATGTGAAGGCAGGCGAGCGTCCAGATGGTGCCGTGACATGCACAGCACACACCTCAGGGCTCCAGAGAGGCAGAATGAGTCTATGGTGCCTCACCTAGGCTTTTTTTCTTCCTGTGAAGTCACTCTGGCTTGCTCATAGCCCCATCTCACCAAGTGTTTGCTAAGCTCACATCTGGGCTTACGGATCCCTGTACATTTGGGACTGTGGTGTGTGGCCTCCGGGGAATGGGATAGGTGTCGGGTTAGGTTTGAGCTCACCCCTGGGGTGGTTAAAATGTTCCAAGGCCCTGGCCCTCAGTCACATCTGCTTCCCAAGTTAGTTATAAAGGCAGGGAAGGAGGAAGCCCATGTGCTGCAGCTGGCATGGACAAGAGGGCTCAGCAACTCCAGCCCCTCCACTTACCCCTCTGCCCCGGATCCCTGGCAGGATGATGATGCAAGTGGCCAGTGCAGAGAAGAAGACAGAAATGATGACAGCTTGAGTGGTGTCGAAAGGGAAATTCGCATTCATGGTGGGATAGAAGGGGAAGGAGCCATCCCAAGGGGTCATCACGATGCCAGAATGGGAGGAAATCAGCACTGAAAGAGCCAAGAGAGGAGCAAATCACTTCCCTGACAGCTGCTGGCATTCGCTGTGTGTCCTTCCTCCTCTACTGCAATTCCACATGGCACAGCCTTCCCCACAGAGCCGTCTTCTGCCAAAGCAGTGCCGGTACCAGACAGGCCCGGAGGCAGGGCTGTGCGCACGCGCATCCCGACTGCCTGCGTCCGTGGCAGATCCCAGAGCAGGACCCGGCAAGCTGTGTCAGTGCAGAACCTGCGCTGATCTGAGCACTGCAGGTTGCCTGGGGTGAGCGTCACCCAGAAGCCAGCTCCTCAGGAAACCCTTCTGTCTTTGCACCTCACATCTCCTATATGTGCATATGCTCAAGCAGCTCACTGGGAAGCCATTCATCTACCTGAGGAACATCTCAGAGCAAAGTAACTTCAGAGTCACTGGGACTTGGTCTGCCATGGTCAGGTGTGTCCCCAGATGGGACAAAATGCAGGATGCATGCAGATCACTGGGCCTATCTCTGTCCTTTCTTGGCCTCCACTCTTCTGTCCAGACTCTTGCTTTTTTCCTTCTGGGAAATTTTTTTATTTTAAAAGCCTGGGTCTGCTGCACTGCGGTGTTGAACACGAGGATGTGCTCGGTGAATCACCATACGGACAAACTTGGGCCATGCCCTTTGGGCTGTTCCTCTCTGAGGCTCAGACCGAGGAAACTCCATTCAAGGACACGGGTGCAATCCAGAGGGAAAGACAGAAGCTGCCCTGTGTCAGGCACCAGGATGCCAGGCGCATCCGCCAACCCTCACTCCTTGAAGCCTCCCGTGTCCCCGTTCCCCACGCCAGCCCTACCTCCGTCTGCAGCTGTGTCTCGGAGCACCGCGGCTGCTTGGACGAGCAATGCTCCCGCCGATCCCGACGGCCGGCTGCCGTGGAGGTGCAACGTGCTCTGGGACGCGGGAGGAAGGAGCGCTGCCTTCCGCTCCACGCTCCCTCCCCGGGGCGGGGGAGAGAAGCCAACTCGCATGTCAAGGCTGTGCTTCTCCCAGTCTCCTCTACAGCACCCGCCTCCCTAAACGGCTGGATCATGCCGCCGTGCCCACACCTGACCTGCCTCTGCTAGCACTCCTGCCGTGGCGATGAGGCAAGAGGGCTCCAGGCTGGCTCTGCACCCTGGCAGTGAGGAATGAGCCTGTAGAGTGTAGGGGCTTTTTCCTTTCATTACTTTTTCTTGTGGACCAGGAAAAAAAAATCCATTCTTTTTTGATGCAATGAAGGTACTGGGGCTCCCAGGCTTCTTGGGAGCTTGCTAGGAGCAGGCTAGGAGGGTGTTGGGGAAGGTGGCAAAGGAGGAAAAAACCCAGGTGCATTGCCCAGTGAAGCATGCGAGCTCCCAGGACGTTTGGCTCAGTCTCCTGATCCTCACGTCTGACTTGTGGTTTTTGAATGCTTGAGGTTGGCAGTGTTGACCCTGCTCCAAACTCTGTCCTCAAGAGAAGGCTCCTCGGAAAGGTCCCAGCTGACTTGTGCCATTGGGCAAGGCACCAAGGCAGCTAGTGAGGGCACCAGCAGAGAGGTGCCCTGGACACAGCCCTAGAGAGGGTCCCAGCCCTGTGCTAGGTTGGTGCTCCCCAGTCTGAGCACTGACTCCTTCCATGGGGGTTGTAAAAATAAAGATAAAAAAGCAAAAGATAAAAAAGCAAAAAAGTGGCTGGGACACATCTGTGCTGGCAATGCCGGGGATGTAGTATCAGCTCCATCTACAGAGGTGTCTGCAAAGCAGAGGGAGACATGGGGTTCACAGCAAATAGCGGAGATTCCGTGGAGCGATTGCTGGATGTCTGCAGGACTTTAGATTTCTTGGAAAGGTGCAAATACCTCTCTCACCTTTGTGGAGAAGGGAAAACCAAAGAGGTGCCTGGTAATCAGCGGTATGAGATTAATTAAGATGGGTAAGATGCAACCGTATCAGGTAGGTATCATTTACCCCCTATCCCTCAGTTCTGTTGTTTCTCCAGGTTTTAGCAATCAGCTAGGCTAAGTCAGGAATTGGCTGGGCTGCCTCAGTGCAGGTTCCTGGGAAGTGGTGGGTTTGTCTGAGGAAGAGATAGGGAAACTGCTGTTTTCATGCTGTTTGGAGGAACTGCATCATGCAACACGACCAGCCTCGGTTTTGGAGAGAAGTCCTACTGCCATAAACCCCAGGGGAACCCAACTGCCCCTCCATCTCAGAGGGAGCTGATGAAGTGCCCAACAGCACAGCGAGTGCTTTAGGGCGCAAGGACATCAGCACGTGGTGACCTCTCCAAACCAGAAATACCAGCAGTCTCCAGAGCCCAGAGGGCACTGAAGGTTACGGGATTGGGTCTTCAGAGGCAAATCAGCCTGAAATTTAGAAAGGCTCCCGAGGAAGAGTTAGGTGCTTAAATCACTCTGGGCTGGGAAGGGGATTTCCTTGAAATGCCGCTTTGTGCTCCAACCTTCCCAGTCTCTTGGCATGCTATGCACTGACAGAAGCACAGCGGGGAAACCTGACCTCCCATCAGGTGCAGATGTGCAAGCTGATGTGCTCATGGTTTGGCAGATGTGGGCAATCTACTGGATTTACACCTTATCTAGCACTCTGCATCCAGAAAGAGGCCTTATAGGAAGCCTGAAGATATATTAGTAACTCAATTTGTGGTTTGTTTGATTTTTAATGTTTCTCTCTCTTGAACCATCTCTGGATGTTTGTTATTTTCTGGGGACAGCAAGGCTAGAAGCAGTAAAGGATTTTAGTTCACTGGACACCTTCCAGGGAAGAGGTCTTGGGATTGGTTTTGGCTGTCCCACGCTAAGGATGCGGTGAGTTCAGAGCCTCAAGCTCAGGGCACTACTCCCTGACATATTCACCCTGCATTCAGTTTTGGTAGCCCTCCTTGTTCAGTACTTCTGCTTTGCCAGTGAAGAACAGGACGATTGCATATGAGTCACTTGATACAGATCGCTTGAAGAAGCAGGAGGGCACAAAGGGTGAGAGGGGGAGCAACACAAAGCATCCTCTGCTCCAGCAGCATTCCAATTCCAGGGACCAAGATGGGGAAGGTGGAGGGACAGGTCTGGGCAAGCAGGACAGCTTGCATGGCCTCAGTGGGAGTCCCAAGAAGCCACTCTGCTCCCAGTGTGTGTGCTAGTGGGTAGAGGGCTGGTGGGGCTGGTAGTCCAAGGAGGGTTGGTAGGTGCCCACAGGTGCCCGCAGGACCATGTGCAGCATCAGGGAAGGCTGTCTGTGGTCAGAAGGGGTGAGCGTGACCAATACCCTTCAGGAGGCAGCCTTGGGAGGAGATGACCAGAAGCCTCAGCATGGGCAGCATGAGAGACCCGTAAAACAAGACTGGCCAAGAAGCTAGGGAATGACCTGACGGATGCTGGCTGGGTCCTCTCTCATACCTGTGACTGCTGCATGTCTCAACTCTTGACTTGTAGCCTCTGTCTGCATCATCATCATCTGAACACAGCTCTCCAAGCCTGTCTGGGGACTACGAACACTCCTGCTGCATCATACCTCAAATGTGTGTCCCACACAACCTCAAGCGGCCTGTCTTATACAGTGACCCACCTTTCATGTGCCTTGCCATCCACTCAGTGCTCTCTGGGAAGCTGTCCTGTGGTCCTGTGATATTGGGAAGGTGTATGCAGCTCTAAATATCCACCCACCTTTTCATATATCCTGTCTCCACTGTGGTTGCTAAACTTTCATCTCATTGCAGGTGCTCAGAGCAGCTTTGATGGCTGGTGCTTTATCCTGGCACGTCCTCTCTGGACATTGGCAGGCAGGTGGGGGAATTGCTGCCCACCTGCAAAGAAATATTGACCAAAGAGACAGGGCTCTTTGGGATGCCTGTTGGTGAGCATGGGGGTAAGTAAGTGGAGCCCAGAGCCCCAGGAGCAGACTGTGGTTGGCTCTGTTGCCAGTGGACCTGATGCCTATGGTCTGGGATCCAGCACATGCAGCTGCTCTCTTGAGAGCCACCAGTGTTGTGGAATGGCACAGTATTAGTCCACATGCTACTACATCGATGGCATGTGCCAGGAGCTGCAGGAGTCCCTCATGCCCAGTGCTCACCATTTCAGGACAAACTCCAGTGAAACATTCACACTGTTCAACAGCTTTTAGCAACCTACAAAAGACATTGAGGGACAGCAGCCTCCTCCCATGGCTGGAGCAAGGGCATGGCTAATCCTACTCCAGATAAGACTCATTGGAGAAAAAGGAATGAGGGTAAAAAGACACTTCATGAAGCTAGTGGGATCAGGCTTCCTGGCCTTGCTCATGAGTCTTCTGGAGACCACAGGGAACCATGAAGATGACATAGGAGGAGGCTGCTAGTGCCAGTGGGTAAGAGCACCTGCTGTATCACTAGATGCTGGGATGCAGCTACTTGCCAGGGGATCATTTGAAACAGCTGAAGAGAGGAGCTTGAAGAGAGAAAGGGAGGGGAAGGACAGAGAGGCTCTGGGAGGACACGACTTGTTCTCAGCTCCTCCGGTGTGCACAGGACCAAAATCATTTTTGAGCCAGACATCAGGTTGGCAAGGGAAGGGATCACTGAGTCTGGGGGCTTTTATAGTCCCTGCAGCAGCTCAGTGCATCCTGCCTCCCTGCTTCCCAGGGAAGAGTCAATGGGGAGAAAAAGGGAAGGGGCCTTTTGGCACCTAGTTCCCACCAGCCGTGGCCTCACCTCTGACCATGGAAACATTGGACTGGCTGAAAAAATAAAGAACTTCCACTGTGATTTTGCAAAATCCTTCCCCAAATGATGCATTTCACAGTATTGTTCCTGATGGAGCTGAACATTTAGATAAAGCATAGGCAATATTTTGTGGATGTTGCCTTCTGCACTAAAAAGACGCCTAAGCCTTAGGGACATGACTGGGTGGGAATTTTACCGTGTCAGCTTGGGCAACCCCCCACTCCCTGCAGATTAGAGTTTACAGCCATTCCTGCCAGAGTCTGCT